TTGCGAATTCTATTTTATTATGGCCTCCAAGGATAACAAGACAGATAAGATTAGCATCTATTAATAAAGAATTCGGAAAGATTGGATCGCTAATTAACCAATGATTTTTTGATGAAGTCTAAAAATGGTAGATAAAAATGCCTACAATGCTATATAAATATGATAATGCCTATCATTCATAAATTTTTGCTCAGATATTCCCATTGAACGTCACATATAATCCATTTCATCTTTTAAATATTCAAAATCATTTCACAATTTTGATACACAAATAATTTAATCTTTTATATCACAGACATTAGCTACTGATTTACATCTCTTCTTCAAAAGTGTACAAATACACGTTTATTATAATTGAATAATTTTAATTATAAATTAAATAGCTTATAATTAATTTATTCTATTTTAAAATTATTAAATTAGTAAATAATTAAATTAAATTTCATATTACATATATATGATGGTGTACAGCGAGAAGTATTAAAAGATTGATGAGCAAACAACATTTTTTTCATGTGTATGTATTGCACATCATTTATAATGGTAAGAAAAAGACAATGTTGCTTCTGCATGAATAATTCTCTGTGTGATTAATTTTGACATTGAGAATCATGCGCATATCATTTTTACTTAACATATTCATTAATACTAAATATACCTGACAATTATGTTAATTATGTCAATGATATTAAATATTCAAAATTTTTATGTATTAAAAATGAAACAAAATTAATTAATAAAAATAATGATTTTTAATTTATATTTTGATTTTTTAATTTTTATAATTGATTAATTATTTTGTTAAAAACTTTAGTTGCAATATAGTTTACACGGCAGAAATAATAAAAAAATAGCACAAAAAAATAACTATATGTTTTAACTATATGTTTTACTGATTTCTGAAATATTATTCTCTATGTAATATCATAAATTACATTAAAACAATTGTTGATAGATCGATTAGGCCATTATTAACATTGGTTATTTGTTTGCCAAATGGATAAATCTGCAACAGGGATTGATTGAGATTCAATTTATTTGAATCCAAAATGAATTAGAGATATACTACATAATAGTTTACAATGCAGAGATTGTGAATCAAGAAATTTTGATATTATAGCAATCTATCATCGTACATAATTAAGTCATCATAACGGCATTTATGATAGACATTTATTCACACCGTGTTGTCTAGTTCAAAGAGAGAATTAATTAAACATAGTCTCACATGGCATCGAATGTGGATTATAATTGCCCACGAACTTTATAAAACAATAACATCGTGAATTAACGCAAATTAATATATGCACATATGTGTGTGTGTGTGTGTGTGGGGGGGGGGGAGAGGGGGGATGTACAGGGTGTCCTTATATAAGTGGTTTCCTTTATTTCTTTTATTAAACTGCAAGAAGATTTAATAAATATAATATTAAATTAAAAGATTCCAATTGAATTTTATCAAAAATACAATGATTACAACTGACAAATATTTATAACTGACAAATGTTAAAGAACAAAAAGGAATTTATAACTTTTTTAAGATAACATGAATATTTCGATATAATAAAAGTTGCAGCATTTTTTCTAACTAATATATCGATGCATGATACAATAAAATTATTTCCATTAGACTAATGCTGTTGATTCAACGGCATTTTTTTCTCAGCGTACCAAAATAGTACATTTCATTCAAGTCACGGAATTAGAGATAGATCAGAAGTTTCATTCAGAAAATTCTGACGCAAGAGTGGCCGAGCACTACCATTCAGAAACAATTTGCTTGAGTAATGGCCATCGTGGAAGATCGTAACATCGTGTGTAATATCGTCGAAGGAAGCACAAGGACTCCAACTGCGTTTTATCTTTGTTTCTGCTTCGGCGGCGCGTCCCGCGCGTTCATTCCTCTAATGTTCATCAACGAACAGTTGCGAACGCAATAATTGTTCTTGAGTTGCTGTGAGAAATTCGTCTCCTCTTTTTCGAGTTAGTAGGAAAAAAAAACGATGGTTGGCCTTCTGTGCCTAGGTATGAGACATTCGTTCTTAGGCAAGGTCGATGTCGCAACGCCGACTCGTGAGGACGCACCTTGGATTTATCTCTCGTACGAATTATCGGCTGCCAGAGGATTCCAAGACGATGAAACTTAATGTAGAAAAACAGTTTTTAAAAATTTATTATGCATACAGGTATTTCATATTCAACGTGACAATTTCAGATAAAGTGTTAGTAATACCGAGTTAATTTGCGTATTACAAGGTATTAAATTATCCTTTTTTTTTTTACTCATCGATTTTTGCATATGAGACTTGACATTTGTTGTATCCATTGCAATCATGACGCAATCTTGTTCACGTGGATTTGTTTGGAAAGATGTAAATGGGTAAATGGGAGGAGTCCATGCGCCGACAAAGAGACAAATAGGGAGGGAAAGCACGATCAGACATCAAAGTCTTCAGCAGTTTCCGTTTATGTGGCCATCTTTCGCGGCTGATCATTCTTAGTTATGATTTTATGACTCAGGTACATTGACATTAATTTTACTGCCGTGATGTCGTCTTTTAATACTTTTGCAATTTGCCACTACCTGTTACAACACATAAATATCTTAAATTATTGATACTTTTCTTGTTTTTGACTCAATTTAAAGTTGATTTTTAATGCTTTAATATTTCAAAAAAATGTAAAATCTAATTTTTTATATTAATTTATACATTAAATGTATATAATAAAACATTTAATATATATTAAAAAGTTTGGTATTTAAATTAACTATAAGTAAGTAACCAGTAAGTCATGGAACAGAGCGTATTTTTTCTTATTTGTTAAAGTAATATGTATAGCATCTAGATATTGTGCATCTGGATTTATCGAGATAATAAAAAAATTGCTTTGCATAACAACGAGTTTGTTTTGCAAATAAGATTTTTCTAGAATGACATTTTTTTTAAAATTCACAGAAATATCTGAATTTCCAAATCACACTAAGCGCAATTTTATTATGGATGAAACTTTCTAAATTGCGACGCACGCTAGGGGCATCATTGTTATCGAGATTCGTTTGCATTTTGCTCGCATTATGCATTATGTCACGTGAACGATGAGTCTGAAAATATTGTATTGAATAAATGATACAATGTCAACGGGTTTCTTAACTTATTATGCAACCGATCAATTTAGTCGTCGCGCGGAAAGGTCAAGACTTAAGATTACTTTTGGCAGAAGATTCTATTTAATTCGAGCCATCTCTCTTGCTCCCTCCCTCTTTCTTTTTGCCCTTTCTCGTCAACGTGGCTGAGCCAAACTCACAGGCTTTTTCTTGTTTTCGGATACCATGCGATCAGAGAAAGTGGGGGATCACGGTTTCGTATAAAAGCGCATTCGAGTTTTATAGCAATCACACTCGAAATCTCTCATCACGTTCCTTCCATTGGATTGACTGATTCGAGCCACTCAAAATGAAATTTTTTGTAAGTTCTGCACTTGTTTTCATTTCATTATTTTTTAAATTTAACTATTTATAAGTAAATTTGATCCGTAAAATTAATATTTTATCTAACATCATTAATGATCATCATTAATATTATCATTATATTTATTATTAATATTATTTATAAATAAAAGTAAAATTTTAATCAATTTTTTAAAGATAGTATAAACTTTTTTTTAAAATTTTTATGAAATCTTAACTAATTTAGTTTGATTTACATTTGTTAATATAGTCTACATATATACGATTTCGATATATACAATTGAACAGCAGCTTTTGAATTTTTAGTTTTTTTAGATTCGCCAATGCCAACCATTCACTCGGAAATAATATTTTCTTGGATTTCCCCATTCGTTTTGATCTTCTCCGATTATTACAAATAACAGCTTGTTACGATCTTATGATCTAATTAATTCTTGGTTAATGAATCGAGAGAAGAATAGAGTGTTTATTGCAATAACAGATTAAACGTAATAAATTACTGTTGTTATATTCGTGTTGAGAAACGGCGGACCACTAATTATTTGCTAACTAATTATAGATGAACTATTAACGCTTATCGCAAGATTATTTAACACTTGGATAATATCCAATCTTCTTTTCACGATTTGCTACGAAACCTATAATCTTTTTTTGCAGCTCGCAAAGTAGCAATTTTTTTGCTTTTTGTACTTTCCGGTCAATTATACTAATTTTAGATAATCGACGAATAACACTATTGACTTTCAAATAATGCAAATTTATTAT